CTGAACTGAGGCAGGATACCAGTGGTGGGGGTACAAGCAGAGGTAGGAGTCGACCTAGTAGCTCACTGGGGGTCAGAAGGAAGAGTGAAGTCAAGAAGAAACGCACATCTCCCTCTATGAAAATAGCGGATGCAATTAGCAAGATTGCTGAAACAAATATTTCTGAGGCCGAGCGTGGAAATGAGGTCATTTCACGAGCAGAAGCTAGAAGGTTGGAAGAAGAAGCGCGTGCTTATGAGGTTTCAATTAGGGGAGTCCTGTCTCACCTGAAAACAGTTCCTGAAGTTGTCAGTGATCCTGATTTCTTTAGACGGTGCACACAACTCCTTATGGAACGGCAGGATGCACGAGAAATGTATGCAGCTCTGAAGGATCAGAAGGAACAGCTTCTACTCATTTTAGAGCATTTTACTAGGGATTTATGACTTGTTTATTATATTAGACAGTTCCATATGTGTATGTTTTATGTGACCAGTGGATTGTTATATGAATCAGACAACTCTGTAACTTTTATAAATGTTTCGTAATTTCTACGTAGGAATTCTAAACTTTATGTGTATGTGCACAGGATAAAACGAATATGGATGATGAAATTAAACATGTGGAAGAGCATGCTAAGGGACGGAAAAAAAGAGTTAACAAAGTTGCAGCATTGGTTGGTGCATACGCTACTTTGAACTTGTGTAAGGAGCCTCGGCATACAAGTGCTTATACAGGCTGCATATGGGTAAGGGATGTTTTAGATGGCAACCCCAGTCGTTGTTATAACATGTTTAGGATGGAACGGGATGTGTTCTTAAATCTGGTGGAACAATTGCAACAACATGGTCTAAAAGAAACTAAAAATATAGGGATACATGAATCAGTTGCAATGTTTTTACATACCGTTGGGCATGCACTTAGTAGCAGAATGCAGCAAGAAAGATTTCAACATTCAGGGGAGACAATTAGCAGACATTTTCATAATGTCCTAATGGCATGCTGTAGACTTGCCATGTCTAATATCAAACCAAAAGATCCAACATTCCGGCATGTTCATACAAAAATTCGGTTTGGTAAATACTGGCCTTTTTTTAAACATGCTATTGGAGCAATTGATGGCACACATGTTTCCTGCGTTGTCAGTGCAACAGATCAAACTAAATTTATCTCTAGGAAAGGAACAGTGTCACAAAATGTCATGGCGGTTTGTGATTGGGACATGTGTTTTACTTTTGTCTTGGCCGGATGGGAAGGTAGCGCACATGATGCTCGGATATTTGATCATGCCCTCACAACTCCTTCAATGAACTTTCCCCATCCACCTGAAGGTATTTTTTTATTTCCTATATTTTTTTTATATTTAGCTTAACAATAGAAACATAATTTACAATAATTTCATTTTTTATATAGGAAAATATTATTTGGTGGATGCTGGATACCCAACACCGAATGGATATCTCGGCCCATACAGACGGGAGCGTTACCATTTGCCTGATTTTCGAAGGACATCTGGGTTTGAAAATGACAATGAAATCTTTAATTATTTCCATTCAAGTTTAAGGAGTACAATTGAAAGAACTTTCGGAGTTTGGAAAAAAAATTCGCAATCTTACAAAACATGCCATCTTATGATTTTGAAACACAAGTTAAAATCGTTTGTGCAACGATGGCTATACATAATTTTATTAGAACGACATCTATTACTGATCCTGGATTCGTTCAGTTGGAAGAAGAAGGTACTTATGCAGAAGATGATGATGATGGGGTTAGATTTTCACGTATACATTCATCAATTCAATCTTCATCTTACATGGCTCAGGTTCGTGACAGCATAAGAGACGAACTTGTTAATTCAATACGAGGATAGTAGTCATGTCTTATTTATTTCCTTTTATCATAGATTGTAATATGTAGTTAAAAACAAAACCTATTACAAATGCTTTGTATCGATGCATCATCTTAATGATTATGACACTTCTTTATTTATATTTCTCTTATTAATATTATGCCTTATATTCTCAAGCTAATTATTACTTACTTGAATAATTAATAAATTATTTTAAGACGTGTTTATTCTATTTTGCAACAAAATAATTCATCTTCTCTAAAAATATTTTTCACTCTAATATTTTATGAATATATATGTGTGGTGACAATTAATTAATTAATTGTATTAAACATCAGAGGTTATTATACATGTAGTATGTTATTACAAAAAGTAGTTATGAAAAAATGTTATGGGATTTCACGTTTACAATCTTTAAACAAAATTAATATTTTTCTGTTCTAAAAAAAATCATTTTTCTATAAACATTTAATATTATGTTTTATAAATATATGTACACATATTAATTATGTATTAATTATATTATCTTATATATTATTAATTATGTTAGTAAAAATTATTTCATTAACAATTTTATTTCTTCAAATCAAAATAAATCATAAAATCTATCCCTTATATAATTATCATATTAACTTATACCCTTTTTGGTCATTTCCACATGTCAAAAGCACTTCTGGTAATAACTATCCAAACACTCTCACTTCTCAGAATCACTTTTTCTCAGAATCTATTCTCCACAGAATCTATTCTCCAGAATCACTTTTCCAAACCACGGTTTGAAGTCATCCAAACACACCCTTAGTAGGAAACTAAAAATGCGTTTGCCCAAAAAAAAAAAAAAAGAATTAGTGAAAACTGCAAACACGGAGTGGGCACGGGACGTGAGGAAGTGAGTTAAAAAGACAGCCTTACAACTTTGAAGATCGAACTTTGAAGGGTTCATAGCCTGGTGACGTGTGGGAAATAAATTCTTCCAGCAAATTATACGTGACGTACTATAATACAAAGTTAAACTTAGTCATACTAATTTTTCGTAAAAACAAATTGTCCCTCACACGGTTTTTGTTTTAAAACTGACGCCTTCATCTATTATTTTTTCTTATTGACAGACAATTAGCATAAAAACTAGTCGATTAATTTGAATTTATTAAGAAAGTTTGTTAAGTTAATTATTTGTAATAAACAAGTGTTGTCTTTCCTAAAATACCCTTACTGATAATATATACATTAGCTAAAACTGCAATTTGTTGGAATCTTTAACAAGTACAACTATTATAAATACCACTTTGAAAAAAATGAATAAATATGATAAACAAAAAGACTAGAGTCTTATATTTAAGATCAAATTGAAAATCAAATTAGTTTTTATACTAAAAACTAGAGATAGCATATAATTGTTTAAAAAATATCCCGGAAAAAACATAATTGTTTAAAAAATAATGCTAAACAACTCTTATTATTTTGTTTGGAATAACCCTAGGACACCTAAAACTGTAGTCGGCAAAAACAAAAATTAATCAGGTGAAAAAGAAATTACGTTTAGCATGGTAGCAAAAACAAACGAGTTTTTACCCGAAATCCATTTTAAAGCTGGAAGCAATTTTTTCTTAGTTTTGACCTTTTTAAAAAAAATTTAAACCTTTTTCCAACATACTACCTCCAGTCCTTAATATAAGATCTTATTTGACTTTTATTTTGGTTCTAAATATAAGACCCCAATACACTTTGTTTCTCATATTTAAGTATTTTTTCCCAAGATAATCCTCTAACAATAGTAGTTCTAGCCAATGCACTTAATTAGTAAGGATATTTTAGAAAAGACAATATCTATTTATTACAAATAACTAATTTAATTTATTTTCTTAATCTTCTCAAATTAGTTAACTAGTTTTTATAATTAAGACTAGAAGTAGTATTACATAAATTTCTGACAACCGTTTTTTTCCCCATAAAACTTATTTGAACATAAATTGCATTATATTAACTTTTTTTGTAGGCATATGTATTCTCCTAATTAGAGATAATCCTATTCGAAATACTGTGAAGCACAAAATGTGACACCTCTTCTAATGAAGATTCAAATCTTAATTCACCACCTTATAAAAACTAACCTCTTCTACTAGACCCAACTTCTATTGATATATTAACTAACTTTTACAACAATTTCAGTTTGTAAAAGCCAATTAAGATGAAAATTACAAGGGCAAATAACGAACTAACATTAACGATATGAAAAAGCAAATTGAAACAATATGGGGGGTTTTGTGGGAGCAGACACAGTTATGGACCCGAATCAAGAGGCTTGTTTGAGACTCATTGGTGGATGCATGAATGCAGCACAGAGTGAAGTTCAGGAGAGGAATAACAGTGGGCCATGGCAATTCACGAAAGAAAAAGGCCGATCATGAGATCAATTGAAAGTTCAGGAGTAAGTAATTACTCTTAAGAAAAACAAAAGTCGCTTATCTTGGCTCAAATGGTAAAACGAGATAGGTCACATCCAAAGCTCAAACCCTCGTAATATAAATAAACCATACAAGCGTCGTGTTTCAGAAAAGAAAATCTGAATCATATTTTACCAATGCCAATCCCATCATTCAACATCTTTAACACTACAAACATGCTTTTTTCTTTTCTTTTTTTTGGTCGAAACACTGTAGCATACTGGAACCTTCAAATTTCAAGCCATATATGACAACTGACAAGTTGTCCCCGTGAATTCCACCCAGTATGGCCAAGCTGGGTGACGCTAGGGTTTCATTCATGCGAGGGCATCAAGGTTATATTACACAGAGTAGTCTTCAAGACAGCGTATATCAGAGAGGATACCCAATATAGACCTACAGAATTCAAAAAATTCAAAAGAAAAAACACCAAGCATGGAAAAAGTACTACTAGTTTCCAACAGGTTTAGGATTGCATGGCCCTAGCCAATCCAAAAGGCAAATCAGCAATCAGCAATCAATAAATGCAGATATCGACATCATCTCCAACGGCGAAAACTAAATTTTCTAGCGCACAAGTTAAAAAAGACAAGAAAAAACAAATAACTCAATCGTTTCTGTTACCTCACTCAAGCGGACATAACCATAATAATCAACAAACAAACGTCTAGCTTTCTCTGTAGATGAGATCCATCATATGGCAGACACGAAAATCAATAAACAGAAACTAATGACAAAGATAGCTGCAATAGTATTGATGAAACAAAATATAAACAAAAGCCTTAGTTACAGAGTGCATCAGAAGATCTACAATGACTTAAGTTCGGCAAAAACATCATTTTTCTTAGCAGCTTCAGCTTTATCAAGTCTATTGCCAAATAACAGCAAGAACAACACACAAAAAAACAAGCACAAGAAGCCTCTTTAGATAATAATCCTGTTGACCTTGACCTGTATGACGAGGATAATATCCGTGAGCATGGCCGCCATGAAATGAATTAGGAAATCCATAGTGAAAACCAGTTGGAGTACCATACATAGCGCCATCATGAAATCCATGCAGTTGAAAGTTAAACAACGACGGGATAAAACCACCAAATCCTGTGGAGAATGTAAAATTCCCAAATCTTGTTGTTGCCATTGGAGCAAAGCCTCCCAACCCACCCATGAATCCAAACCCATGTTGAGGAAAGTGGTTTGATTCAGGCGGTGGGGCAGTTTCAGGTCGTTGACCTGATGGACGATGCGGTATGTTCATACCAGGAACAGACCTCGACCTTGGGTCAGTTGAGGACTTACCCCTTCCGTATAAGGGAACCAATTTCTCCTCCTCAATGAGGGCCTTACACACCGGGCATTCCCGTGACTGTGAGTGAAAGTGAAGCCATTTGTAGAGACAGGGCCAACAGAAAAGATGGCCACATAAAGTAATGATAGGGTCTTGTGCTAAGTCAAAGCATATGTTGCATTCAAAATTGCCTGCATCGCTGTTACTATTGTTGCTGGAGTAGGAAGGGCTTGGTGGTGATCTGCTCGTTGATTCCCCAAACCTGCTTGCCATCTATTGGGTCCAACTTTCAGATGCCTGCAAAAGCCCCATCTAACCCGTTACTTGCGGCGATCTACAGACACATAATTTGGGGGCAGCCTAACCAGTTTTAAAAAATCCGAGGTAGTAAGTCCCAATCAAAAGCTCTTTTTATCGTTTTTCAGGGATGATGACTGTGCAAACAGAGAACTCTTCTTCATTGGCCTCCCGAGAAGGAGATTCAATAAAATCGTCAAATTAATAAGCACAACGATCGTTACATTTACAATTGGGATAATTCATCAAACATGAAGCTCGATACGGTGTGTAGAAATTGTTCGCATCACGGGATACCCACAATCATCCACAAAACATTTAAATAGTCAATAATATCAATAAACAAGCACTTAATTTAATTCAACAAAATCAATAACCATATGAAAGGAAGAAAGAGAGAAAAATGCCCCTCAAATGCAATATACACAACCTCAGATCTTGTTTCGTAGTAATAGCAAATTACACGCTGTTGCTGAGACAGTTAGAAAGTGATACGGAGGAGATCGGAGTTTAAAAATACCGGACATGATATGAAAAAAAAAAGATCAATATGTTCCGAGAAATGGAGTTACCGATCTGCAGAAATAACGAGCGATCGACGGATTCCAGGAAAGAATGACGAATTCTAGAAGGAAACCAGAAAGACGAATATCGAAAACCAGAAGGTATCGAGGTGTAGGGCACAATAATCACGAGACAGTACAAAGTACAACTTGGCGAAGAAGAGGAAGAAAGCACGCGGAATTGGAATCTTCTACCAAATACTCCCTTCAGTGTTTTTTTTCCCCACCCCAAGACAGTAAAATTAAAATAAAAAAGGAAAAGAAGTACAGCAAATATTAAAAAGAAAACTCCCGCACTGTAAATTAGCCGGTCGGGGAGGAGGGTCGAACCGTCGAAGCAAGTCTGCAGTGTGGCACTGTGGTGCCTGGCTGCCTGCAAGCTCAAGCAGAGGAGTAGACATTAAGAAAACTCGTTATGAAAGACAAACCTCAATGAATCCAAAGCAATTCGATGTTCTGAACCATCAGTTCCGATCCAAGAGAGAACAGACAGCAAGCCTTTTAAAATATCAATATGCCTTTATCGTACTCATTTATAAACTATAAAATATTATTATTTTCAAGAAATTTTTTCAAAAAAGTTTATTTCCCTTTTCATAAGTTTTGTCATTTTTTTTTTGGTAACAAGTTTTGTCAACTTTTAGCCATTTCTATTTTGCGCCAGTTCTCGACTTCTCGGTGTTGTATAGACCAATAGTAGGTTTATTGGTTCTCTATCTGACTAATTAGTTGAGTTTTGCTTTTGATACTCTCATCTTATTTTTATTTATACAGTTTTTATTTTATATGTAAAAGTTGCATTTGAATTTTATCTTAAATATAATAATTTAATTTATCTTATCTCTTAAATTTATAATTTTTTTCAAAACATCCTTATTGATTGTAGGGATTCATACCAGGGATAGTTTCAATATACATAATTAAATATGGTAGTTTGGGATGATCAGTACACAATTATTACAAATAATTAATTTAACTAATTTTCTTAGTATAATCAAATTAGTTATTAAACTTCTATATTAAGAATCAGAAGTAGTATTATTTTTTCCAGCCATACAAATACAGAAAAAAAAGTCCAGAGGAATCTATATTCATCATTTGTCTACCTCAATTAACCTCTTGCAGCCTAATGGAAGATTGATTAAAAAAGTATTAACTCTGCACACATTCTTAACAAATTAGTCTAGAGAAACTAGATTTTCTACATGTTTGTTTGAACTTTTTTAAATTAGGTGGTTTGAAATAACTTATAAATAGTTTTTAAATTGTGATTTATAAAATATTAGGTAAATATATAAAAAAAGGTTTTGTTTTCACTTATATAAAACTAGCTTATAATTGTAATTTCAAATGAGACTTAAAGATAACCTAATCACATCAATATCCCCTAGCATTATAGGGGGTGTTTGGCAACCTTCAAACCATGGTTTTAGAAACATTTTTTTACAAAACGAGACAAATTCCTCAACATATTTACTTTATAAACCGTAAAAGTACTTCTGAAACCATAGTTTGGTTTCTATCCAAACACCTCCATAAAAATCTGTAAGGATCTTACTTGCTGCTTCAGCTCAGACAGTAGCAAAAATCTTTTTTTTTTTTTTTAGCTCCTCATTCCCAGCAAATCCCAGTCCTTTAAAGATTCCTTTCAATTTGTCCATGGGACAACTCGTGAAAACCAAATTTATACATGGGCGACTTCACATAATTGCCTTGGCAATCTTAGATTAATGCAACAGAATTTCCTGATATCATGCTGTTTCCGTTTTAACATGTTATGCTACTTGCCTTGCGTTAAGTTGGCTGCCGTAATAGATAGGGATTGGATTAAATAGAGGGAGGGAGGAAGCGAAGAAAAGTTGAAGGAAATAAGGAAAATGGTGGAGACAGAGATGACATAGGTCCAATATTGCACCACGCATGCAAATGTGATAGCACTTGAAGATTCAATTCACACAGGAAAGTGGACAGTAATTTCATCAAGCACGCATGTTCAAAGATCATAACACAAAGCAGGCCTTGGCGTAACATTGGTGCGCACAATCAAATTCAATTACCTTCATTAATGACGAGCTCCATATGTAATCTAAACATAGACCTTGTCTTTTGAATTGCCTCGTGTTGTCTCGATTTCAGCTCAACAGAAAGAAGAGAAGAAAGAGAATGGTAGGGCTGGCAGTTAAGAAATTGCTTTCCTCCCTCCAACAGGCAAGTAATTTAATTATTGGTGCAGGATGGATGCAAATGTCAGCGTTTGCCAAAATTGAAAGTAAGAAAAGAAAAAGGGCCCTTTTCGCCCAATTATTGAGAAAAGGATTGATGGGGCCCTTTTATCAACCGTGAAGGCTGCAGGAGGAGTCCATATGGTTTAGAATGCAATTTTCAAAAGCTGCTCACTGCAGACCATTTCCAAATCACTTGCCAAACATTCACATCTCCTTGGTTTGAATAAAATTGTTTTTTAATTAAAAAAAATTCACATCTCCTATGCTTGGTATTTTATTTCTGGCGGAACCGCGTCAAATCTATTTTTGTTGTGCGCGCTTTGTCCGTTGAATATGCGCGTCTTCTAGAATATATGGTGTGGTTATATTACACTCTGAAGCTATCATCGCACCAAGAATCAATCACATTTACTTCTTTTAAATGAATCAATTATGAAATTAAGAAAAAAAATTGATCCCAAATTCTAAATTTCGAAATTCATAAAACAAAAGCCGTGAGTATTAAAAAAAAAACAGAATAACAGCATAAATATACCCATCATATTATTTTTTTTCCGCGGCCAGTTTGTTTTGAGATTCTCGTTTCATTTATGTTTATATCACAACTTAAAATTTTTCTGGCAAAAGAAAATTCCGTTAAAACTGTTCATTTTGTAAACTTAGAAAACTTGGGATTAAATGTTTTTAAGTTATGACATAAATTTAATAATTAATATCGTATAATCAACCGTTGATTCCAAGCGCCAAGCGGTGGCGGCGGCTGCTCCTTCCTGGGCCCGATCAAAAATCCATTCCAAGTGTACAAAACAAATCCATTCCTTCTGAGCTTCACAAATCACGATGTGCGGTTCCCTAACGCTCACCTCTTTTGGTTACTCCCCAAACAATATCCCAGTATCTGATTCAGAATTCCTGTTTCATTGATCCAACATTCCTTCTCTTTCCTCCTGGAGGAAGTTTACTCGATGCTTCATAACGACAACAAGAGCGAGGAACGCCCATATTATTCTCCCAATCTCCCTCTATAACTCATTTGTCAGCTCTTGCTCCTTGCAGGTAAATTCTCCAATCTTATTTCTTTGCTCTGACTCAACTCCATATTTACTTTGCCTCGTATTGATTCTTTTCTCGCAAGAAACTTTCTGATCGGTAAATCTCGTTGAAATTCGTCTAGGTTGATAATTTTGTTTGAATTATTTTCTCATTTCTTTCTTTCTTTCTTCTCATGCTTTCATTTTGCTTGCGGTCGGCAAGAAATGAGAGTAATAGATATTTTTGTTGTCTTCATAACACAAACTGGATTTGTCACTCTCCCGTATTTGCCGGTCTTTATTGACCAAATATTACAATTTGAGGAAGAGATGTCAGTTGACACTGGAAACTGCATACTGTAAAGATAAATATTTATAAGATTTGCCTTCTTTATGGGGAAGGGATAGCCTAGTTTAAAAGTCAGATTGGGAAAGGAATTAGAATTTTGAACCCTGGTTAGACAACTATTTCTGATCAGCACTTTTGCCATAGGAGCCAAAATTCGAGAATCCATTAATTTTATACCAAGCGTAGTGGTGCTGGTGCATTGTCTTTGGCCAAAAAGGAATTAATTGATAATCTCTTTTGTTAGAATCCTTAATCATGATTTATAATGTTTCCTTTCCTCGTAGTTACTGCCCAAGTTTCTTAAACATTTTTCTTCAGGATTTTGGATCAGAAACATAGATTTCTCCAATAGCTACTGCTTATTGCGTGAAACTCTAAAAGTGACATGCTCTGAGAGCGATTGGGATCTCTGGCAATATCTGTGGTTTAACGTTGTGGACTTTATAGTAGACTAGACTCCACTAGACAGAGAAGTTGTTCCGGAGCACTTATTAGATTGGTGATCCGATGTATGGTCGTCCAAACACAAGCTTCCGTATTCCCGAAGTGTTTCTGTGTTCCAAGCGGAAAATGTTTACAAGACACAGACACGTATCAAGTGATTTTGTCTTTCGTCTGAACCGTTTTGCATTTCTAGTGGTTTTCTGCATTTTTCAGCAAATGATATTTTTTTTACCAGCTATTATGCCCTTGCTTTCAATGGAAAAATTGGGACTGTGAAAACGCTCGAAGTCTTTCCCGAAGTGAGCTTACCATTAAACTAGTTTCTATCATTTTGCCAGGGAATTTTACCGTGCATCAATTCAATGTATTTACTATTTGGCGTTTCATCTCAGGTGGGGAGCAAATTGACCTGAAGAATATATTTGTTTTGTATAATCATTTCCTAAGTTTCAGGCTGCCATATCAGGGATTTGTCTGTTGTCAAAGAAATTAAGGATGAAAATGTCTTTAAGAGAAGGAACATTGAATTTAGTGATGAAGAAAGGTTAACTCCATGACGCCATTAATTGGAGAACAACTAACGACCCAAGAACAATTTTTGTGGTGTCTCTCACAACTACTTGTGTCTTTCTCATTGGACTCAATTTTCAGATCAAAGGTATTTGTGCAACTGAAACCAATTAAAATCTCGGCCCATAGAGCCAGGACATTAGAAATGAAACCATGCTTTGAGTTTGCTGGAGCTGCAAGACTAGATTTTATTTTCCTTTTCTTTTTCCCGTTTACTTAGCTAGTATGTGACTAGATGTCTAGATGAACTCACTTATTAAACAGATTGACAGGGCTATATGGAAATGCTCTAATTACTGCTTTCCTCTGGACCTCCGAATCAACTACTGCATAAGATATACTTACCTTTATTTCATTGTATGTAAATATTGTTTATTATTCATGCTATCGCTGTTATGTTCTCTCTTTTTGTCCAAAAGTTTTGGAAGTCTTATACATTAAAGGCCGTTATTGCAGAAGGGGAGGTTTTCCAACAGTTCCTTGAAGAAGATGGAAGTTTCCAGACCTCTGAAATCTGATTGTAGATTAAAGCACCGTTCTCTGACCCCTATTAGGATTTTAAGGGGTCTGTTATGCTTAGTGGTGTTTATTTCTACAGCTTTTATGTTTTTAGCCTATTTTACACCTGTGGCAGCTGTGTTAATGCGGCTTTTCAGTATACGTGGTAGTAGGAAGGCCGTCTCATTCCTCTTTGGACTTTGGCTAGCCCTGTGGCCTTCTTTATTTGAAAAGATAAACAAAACTAAAGTGGTCTTTTCTGGAGATAGTATTCCGATGAAGGAACGTGTTGTACTTATTGCAAACCACAGAACTGAGGTTGATTGGATGTATTTGTGGAATCTTGCCCTTCGAAAGGGACGTCTGGGCGACATAAAATACATTCTTAAGAGCAGCTTGATGAAGCTGCCTATTTTCGGTTGGGGATTTCACATTCTGGAGTTCATTGCAGTGGAGAGGAAGTGGGAGATAGATGAGCCAATATTGCTCAGCACGCTTTCCACATTAAAGAACCCTCAGGATCCTTTGTGGCTGGCAATTTTTCCGGAAGGAACTGATTATACGTACTGCCTCATCATTCCTCTTGCTCTTCACTGTCTTTTGGCTTCTAAGTGCTTGCGTCTTGACTTGATGATAACATGATTCAAGACGGCCTTATATTTTCTAGGAATTTATGCCCTCAATTTCTGTTTTGACTAGCAACGCTAAAATATAGGCTTCATATTATATTGTGCGAGTGCACAACTCAATGAATGAAAATATGTGATATTGCTTTTTTATGCAGCGAAGAGAAGAGCAAAAAAAGTCAAAATTATGCAGCTGAAGTGGGGCTTCCTGTGCTAAAAAATGTGCTCCTTCCAAAAACTAAAGGTTTTTATGCTTGCTTGGAAGTTCTACGAGACTCACTGGATGCAGGTTTCTCTTATAATTTTCTGCTACTGAATTTTAAAGGACACAGCTTGTCAATTGATAAAAGTAGCTATTTGAGAAAATCATGCATTTTCGTGGTCATAAGTAGCTAAACCTGATATTTTTCTTGGACGACAATAAACCTGATACTGAAAAATATGATTTAGCAAGTATAAATATTTTGTGGCTCCGCATCTTCCCCACGGCAAATGTGATGCCAATTCATAGGCCTGCTTTTGCTTCTAATAATGTTTGATTATCTTTCAACATCATACTTGTAAAGCAGCTGACTGAGCCACTGTGGCTTTGCTTTTTTCTTTTTTTGAGCCTTTCATCTGATCCATCTTTTTATGTCTGATGAAATTTATATACCGCAGTATATGATGTAAGCATTGCGTACAAGAATCAATGCCCTTCTTTCCTGGACAATGTCTTCGGGACCGATCCGTCAGAAGTGCACATACATGTTCGGCGTATCCCTATTGATGGCATTCCAGCTTCTGAAACCAAGGCTGCCTCTTGGCTAATGAATGCGTTCCAGATGAAGGACCAGTTGCTTTCTGATTTCCATATTAAAGGCCAATTCCCTAGTCAACTAAACGAAAAGGAACTATCTACGTTCAAGTGCCTGGTTACTTTTGCTGTGGTAGTTTCTTTGACTGCCGTGTTCACTTATCTTACATTTTTTTCTCTCATTTGGTTCAGGGTGTATGTGGGCCTGTCTTGTGTATATCTCGCTAGTGCTACATGTTTCAAACTTAAATTGATGCCGCTTACATACTATGTTAATGCACTCTTTTACAGCAAAAAACAAAAGAGTGGATAATGATCGCTTTTAGAATTGCAATAGACATGTTGGATGATGATGAACCTGATCTTGAATTGTTCAAGACAATTGTTTTTTGTTAAATGCTATTCATAAAATTATATTTAAATGGTTAACACCAGGAATAAAAGCTGAGGCATTACAACGGGCTTTCTCTCAGAAATTGCAAGCAGTATTTATGTAGTATGATGAATTCCTAAAGTCCCTTAGCTTCCTTGATCATCATGGCCTGGCGACATATATAATTGATGCCATGGGATGAAGCGCAAGAGCTCCAGAAGGGAATGGGCTGAAGTTTTAGAGAAATAGAGTTCTATCTGCATTGTATTACTGAAAATTGATGGATAAATTTTGTATATAATGGGATTAGCTTCTCTTCAGCATGCTTCAAGTATTCTCTGTTGCGGTCAAATTAGGTCGCTTCAATTACCGCATAAGTTGAATTCCTGACATGGTTGCGCAGATTTGGTTTGGACAACTCATCCCCTTGTATGGTAATTACTTGCAGCATTTCATGATGCGCATATAGCCGTGCGGTAAACATGCATGGTCAAGGATGTGATCAACCTTAGACGCAATAAACAATCGATCATGGGGTGTTCTAGCTCATTATGAATTAGGTATAAAACGGGGAAGATTTGACTACAACCAACCACCCTGGTGATCTTCTTTTCGCTCGCTGGTTTTAAAAAAAAAAAAGAAGAAAAAAACCTTTTCGCTCCAATTATTTGTTTGCGCAATTTACTGCCGACTTCCTCTTTTTTCTTTTCAGTCCATGAGTTGATGAATTCCAACTTATGGATACCCGCGACCCCACCGGAGAAGGGGACCACACATCCCGGGCATATCATGATGCTCATATTAATTTGGACGACCATCAAACTTGATTTTAAATAATTTGGATTTAGTTTTTATACTTCGAATATATATTTCAATCAAACTACAAGTTTTTTTTTTAATAAAAACTCATTAGTTTCTAAAAATTAATTTTCCAAACATGATGATACGCTTCCAATTGATCAACATCCGTGACTCCACTAGACTGACTAATGATTTGAACCATTACCTATGAACTATAGTGATTTGATCTTTGCAATTAAAATTAGATCATACAAGTCCCCATTTTCTTTTGTGGTATGATCTGATAAAACAGTTGGAGAAACAATTGGCTAGCAAGGAGGTCAGTAAGTATACTATCTTAAGGGAAGAGCATGGATAACCACAAACTAGGGGCTCAGGAGGGGAGAGCATGGTCCGCGCAACACACGATAAAAAAGTAATTGACCATAACAACCGCCTGAACTCATTTATGTTGCCTATCAGAAATTCTCCCTGAATCATAGTTGTTCAGAAAGATTATTAATTTTCGTGTCGTGTCTTGTCTGCTTTCTCGCGAGGGACATATATATACATTTCTCATGGCAATGCAGTTCACGTGTTTGCATTGATTATATTGTTTGTCCTACTTTGGATGAGATCTAATACAGAGTTATAATAATGCTTGAAGGCTGGCTGGCCTTCCGTATACATACATACATACATGCATATATCGTGGTCCATTAGTACATGTCCATATGGCTAAATGTGCTAACTTTGGCAATGAAGGGAAAAGAATGTTGCCAATTAAATTGCTTGTAATTAGAAATTCGTGGGGCTTGTGAAGTGCTAAACCGATTGAGAGCAAAAACGTGGCTAGCTATGGGGCGTGGAGAGGGTTGAGGCATAATGGCTGGCGGCGATGGGGAGCACGTGGGGTGCTGCCTCCCACGACGTCGTCGCTGCCCATCTTCCTTTCTCCCCCGAGACACTCGCACTCGCCCCATTATTTGACTTTGATCCTTCCCTTTCCCACCTCCTATCCCATTTTCATAACATAATCCCCACTTCCTTCAACCGTATTTAACTTGCATTGCATCAACTTTTCTTTAAAAGAATTATAATAAATTTGCTAAAGGGTTCAATTTTTGCTTGGCGGAAGTATTACCAAGCGTCCAAGACACAACTACATGTTTCACGACGGGCAACGTGTACGTGGCGTCATGCGTTCTCACTGCTCAAGGGCCCAGTGCTTATTTATTATTATTGTTATTGTTATTGTTATTGTTACTTGACCCACAAAATTTGATTTTAATGTGATATATGTTTGCACTATTTTTCACATATAAATATATAATAAAATAAATATAAATTACTCTTAAGAAAGCACGATCAGTTATGGGCCACTAATAGAAAACAGCAGCCCGTGCTGGAGCATAAATGCGGAGTGCAAAAAGTGACAATGGCCCTTAAAACAGTATAAATACGGCCCTTCCCAGTTGTAACTTCCTCACGCACGATCTCATCTCATACCTGATACCCCCGCCCTTGCTCTCTGGCCTTCCCATCTTCACCCTACCTTTACTTCGGTCGCTATGGCTCTTCCTTCTCACCTCTTTCTCTTTCTTCTTCTTCTCTCAGGTACTTCCCCTCCTTTCCTCCATCTCACTCTAAATTAACACGTTTGCGAGCCACATTTATACTGTTACATCGTTAACACAGACAAAATATACATAATATCTAAAGATTAATTAATTTACGATGTGATTCTCCGATCCACACACACGATCGATACAGAGAATATCATGTATCGTTACGGTAATACAGACGAAATATACACATTATTTTTTGCATTTTAATTACAATTAGATTTTGTGTTGCTGTGGATGGAGTTGCAGGTTATAATACAGGTTCGGCCACGGTGTTCACCCTGGAAAATCGTTGCAGCTACACGGTATGGCCTGCCACACTTTCAGGTAACGGAGCTGCCATTCTGGGCGACGGTGGATTCTCCTTGGCGCCTGGATCCTCTCGTCAACTCACTGCTCCATCCGGCTGGTCCGGACGCTTCTGGGCCCGAACCTCCTGCAACTTCGATTCCTCCGGAAACGGCAAATGCGCTACCGGCGACTGCGGTGGACTCCGGTGCACTGGTGGCGGCGTTCCTCCCGTCACGCTCGCTGAGTTCACACTGGGAACGCCTAGCAATGTTAAGGATTTCTACGACGTGAGCCTGGTCGATGGTTATAATGTGGGAATGGGTGTGAAGGCAACCGGGGGAACCGGTGACTGCCAGTACGCGGGCTGCGTTGCGGATTTAAATGCTAACTGCCCCAGTGAGCTGCAGGTCAGGAATGGAGCTTCCGTGGTGGCGTGCAAGAGCGCCTGCGCGGCGTTTAACACGGCCGAATTTTGCTGCACCGGCGACCACTCCACACCGGCGACATGTGGACCCACGCAGTACTCGGAGATGTTCAAACGTGCGTGCCCAACCGCTTACAGTTACGCATACGACGACGCTTCCAGTACTTGCACATGTGCCGGCTCCGATTACCTGATCACATTTTGCCCCTCCCAGTGACCGCTTTACATTACATTACTAGTGAGCGTTGCATTATGTTGGTTCAATAATCATATTAGTCATAAAATTCAATCATTGTGGTAACTGAAGGTAAAAAGGAAAAAAAAAAATTCATTGTAGTAATTATATTGATTAATTATGGTTATAATTTTGGGGTCCTGCCATATATACGTGTTACTTGATGGCGGTGTTGGATTCTGTGCAAATTCATGGTTTTTTCCCTCGAGAGTGAAGGGTCGTTTGTTTCAATTGTAGTTTCTTCGGTTTATTGATAGATGAATCTTTAGATATGGTGAGAACTGAGAGGAAATTTAAAGGCAGGAACAAATTCCGTACTCGCTGGCTGAGAGATGGTGAGATTGTTGACCTTGAATTGAATTATCATCTTGGAGAATAATCAGCTTATCCTCTGGCAAAAAAACAAAAAGAATAATCAACTTATAGCGATGTTACATATCAAGGTATACCCGGTACAAGCTGTGAAATATGGTCAGATTCATTTTATTATTTTAGGAAATGAAGTTTTTTTTCCTGAAAACAATGTTTATAATCGCATACCTTTTTTTCGTTTGTACACAATCGTCTACCTTTTTATTATGGATATATTATGTGCTAATTCCCCTTGAAATTGACAAAGGTTAAGACGCTCTTTAAAGATAATGGCGGTATCTCTAGCTAAGAAATCCCCCCCCCAAAAAAGAAAAAAAGTTTTGTTCCCAAATTTTTTATTTCTTGTGAAGAATAAAAATTGATCTATTTAATATTATAAGAAATGGCTATTTTATAATGATAAAAAAGTGTTTAAATTTTACAACATTATATTACTCAGATAATAGGTACAAGAGAATCTTAGTCAATATATGCAGATGATATTATATTTTATTAACGTAACAAAGAAATTCAGTAATGAATGTCGTGATTACAATTGAAGAGTACAAGTTTTATTGTTTCATTAAAAAAGAATTTTTGTTTGCCTGCATGAGAAGAAAAGGAATTAATGTTGATAAAAGGTACGGCAGAGAAGGCGTGAACGGCCTGAAGGGAAGCAAAAAGGGAGGTAGTTTTGGGGAAATTTGAAATGGACAAGATCTCAATCGCAGAGGAACACGAACACCAGACGCACTTGGCTTCTGTTGTCCCTGCCATCTCGCTTTCCTTCTCACATAACCTAACCTTACTTCTTCAAACATGGACCCCATTACCTCTCTTGCGTAACCCGCTGGGCACGGACCATTTCGCTCCCTTTGTTATGATCCAAGCGCTTTCCACACAAAACAGGGTGAAAATAATGTACATTTCCATACACCAATTCAGGCCCTTTCTTCTAGTCCCAAGGATTGCCTTCCTTTCGTTCACCGTGTTTCACTCAAAGATTCTAACAAAAATCATATTACTTCCGATCCTAATTATAAAACCTTATTTATATATTTCTAATTATAAAATCTTATTTGTAACCTATAAATAAGATCTTATAATTAGGGATCAGAGGTAGTACAACAAATCCAACAAGAATCTTACCATCTTGAATGCAAAATAACTTATATTTGAGGAGAATTGTTATGAAGTCTATAATTACCCCTAATAATAACAGAATAACTTGCAATGATATGTTTCAAAATAATAAATAACTATCATAATTATTTTATTTCTTTGGAACATTAGTGTAATTCTTTCTCATGTCTATCCCCAACTGGTTGAGAAATAACCCTCTTAACAAACCTTTGATTATCTGTAACGAACCTATGATCTTTTTACTATTTCTCTAATTATTTGTGAAACGTACCGAAATATTTCTTCCAGTTCAAAATATAAATTAAACTTTCTTAAAAAGGTTGGTTTTTTTCTTTTTATAAGACAACATTCATTTTTATCTAAGTATTTAATAAAAAAATTTTAATTTTACCCCCATATGTTCTCTATCCTCTTTAATTCATTTATCATATCTTTTACTTATTCTCTTCATTAATAAGAATATGCTAGAAAAAACAAATATATACCTTACATATTTATTGTTTTAAATTGATTTTAATTGGTTTCTTGATAAACATAATAGATAAAATTTAACTTATATTTTGAATCGAAAGGAGCAGCAGTTACAGAGGGAAATCCGAATAAATCCCCAGCAAGATCCATAAATCTATCGGCCCGCCACAAGATTCAAACTAGAAGGGGACACAGAACCAAGAGACATGGGTCAAATAATATATACAAGAGATGAAACATCGGACTTTTTTGAGGCCTTCGGCCAAATTTTTGACAACCAACTCAATATATATACTTTGTTCCTCTGCTACTTTCTCTTTTCATACATTTCCAATTTTCTCTACAAAAGGCTCTCCTCTTCGAAAGCCCAAACTGTATCCTCCTCATCCAGTTTTTCCTAAACAATTTTGGATGAGGAAGCACCCACTAAATCTAAGGAGTTACATGCCACCTTTTCCCTGCAACAATAACCCCGGAAAAATTACAAGCCAAAATCCCCCAGAGAGAAAAATGAACTGACGTTAAAGTTGCCTGTATTTTACAGCAATTCCTTTCAAGGAACTGTTCCTCAAAGAAAATGTAGTTCGCAGTCGATTAATCCAAGACATTTTCATCTCACCAGAGCCCGTACACTGGCCGTTGCCTTCCCCTTCACTGCTAAACAAGGTTTGGTCAGTGCAGTCAAGTGAGGCCCCACACGCTAGATTATATGACTGACACGCTGAATGGCAGACCCTGAGGCGGTTGTCACCATCCTTATCACACTTTTGGATAGAGATCTGAAGATCAAGCACCAAGTTATTCGCACATATACAGAATGGGAATTATCACACTTTATATGAAGTCGCAGCTTCATCCTTCTAGCATTGTCAAGAGATGCATCGTTTAACAGAATCAGTATAAAGAAACAATTAGAATGATCTTGCAGGCTGCCACCATGATCGTTTTAGTTTTACATCTTTCGGGTGCATCAGATTCAGCTTATTCAATAGTCTTAGGAGAGTAGGAAAGTAAATTGACAAGGAAATTAGTCTAAGCGCAACCAAAGAGAAGTTATTTTGAACAACTTCTAAACAGCAAAAATTAACTTATCATGAAGTCTCTAAACAATAGATCAGTTTTTTAATCAATCTAAAAGTAACTTATTTTTTAAGCTTAAACAAACATGCCCTAATCAGATAACAAAGTAACAGAATTCAAAGAGATAACTTACCCAGCAGGCTAGTTGTTTAGCAGCCTCATCACAGTAAGTGCTGCCAAATATGTTGAATAATTTCCTAGCCCCACCAGGAAATAGTCGGTGGTAGTTGGGCATGACAACTACTTCTTCTAACTGCTGCAGGATGCTTGGTTCACTCGGTGCACAATGCTGTCCAGACACGTCCTTTCCCAGCACATTTTTACAAACTGACAAACTGGAGAGAAGCAAGGAGCTGTTCTGGCATGTGTATCCCGCATAGTCAGAACAACGGAATTCACAAACTCCATTATCGCAAACCCCACCATGGAGGCTGCATTGCTCATCACAAACAGCTGCAGTTCATGCAAGGGATGAGTAAAAAATCTCACTGCTCCAAGAAAAATTAAGTAAATGTGGTTCCTAAGCAAGACTAAATCAATCGAAATCTTTAATTTATATGTCCTCGTGAGCCAAAATAATTCAGCACAATCACAGAAACTACAAAAGCTAAAGCATATAAAAGGAATCCATTTTCAGACAAGTATACATGCTCAAACACTTCAAGGTCCAAACCAGTCCTTCACAGGGGATAACATTGCCATAACTTCGTAGCAAATTCCTAATCGTACCCACACCCCCAACAAGCACAAAAATAACATGACACAAAGATAAATGATAAAACGCCTAATTGAATATCCCCTACAAGAATAATTCGGTTGAAAATTAGTTGATAAAATAAAAAGGAATGTTTACACAGGATGGTGATCAAAAAGGCTGAGTAACTCATATACATACCGGTGGAACAGTCAATGCCAGTATAGCCGTCTTTACATTCACAAATCCCATTGGAGAGACATTTGCCATTGCCACTGCAATTCCTAGGGCAGGAGCCTGGAGAAAATCGATGACAACAGATCAAAATTGGCCAAAACTAAAATCTTCAGCCAAATAGAGTTGACCACACAAATGAAGGGATAATATAAATTGGGAAATGAGAACTCACGCCCACTGCAATCATGACCATGAAATCCTAGAAAGCAGCGGCACCTTCCATCAATACAGTCTCCATTGAAATTACAAGAACTGGGACATTGGCCGGGTATCTTGACAGGGTTTGTGGCACAGAGCTCATGATATGCAGGGCAGATCAATTCACCTATTTAATAAAAATATTGGTTGCCAAATTATTAGCCAACAGGCATCATTATGTAAACAAATACATCAATAAATTAGTTTCACATTACCATTAAATCCAGGGAATTGAATGGGTCCACCAGCTTGAGGACATAATTTCCAGATACCATCCACAGCAACCTGTTAAGTAACATCGAACTACAATCAATGATCATTTCATCAAAAAATGAAAGAAGGCACAACCATCATTCTGTTACAGAAAAATAGTCATAGTTATGGCCTGCTCAAATTGGCTTAAGCATTTGTCCTATAGGAAAATGGCTGCTCAGCTAGAGAATGGAATACATATAACCGTTGACCAAGGATTTGTGGGCATGCAATGCTTGCCTTGTTCAGCAAGCAGAATATTAAAAGAATATATACCAACAACTAACAATATTATCATGTACTATTTATGTCTCTGTGTTGGACTACCCAATAGAATACAAGTAGCTGCCTAACGATTATTTGCTGTTAGTACACAACAATTTTGTTAGTAGGCGCCTGTGCATATTGCTAGCATGTAAAGAAAGAACACTACCAGGAAATGTCATCATTAAACGCATACAGACTCAGACTGAAGCAAACTCCGGGCAGAAATATGATCAAATAAAGCATTAGACAAACGGAAGCATTTATTAACAGTTCACGATTATAAACCATACTGCATACCTCTAAAGAATTATTGATACACCTGTGCTGATAACAACCATTTCCCTGGGTCATAGAACCCCGTACAAATCCTGTTCGTACTAATGATGAGGCCATACACCTACATTAGAAGAATGCAAAAATTGACCCTCAAACTTTAAGCAGCCCACAAAAGCCGTGTAAATCAATGATGGAGTGAAAATTTTGTAGTAACAAATATGACCTAGAGTTACTCCCTCGGACTTCACCCAGCATTCTATCAGGTGCCCTTGCACTACTGGTGTCTGTACATGATCCATCAGAGTACGCAACAAAATAAGTGCAGTAATCAGCCAGTGAGGATTGTCCACCTGCAACAAACAAACAAGTTACTAAATCAACAAAAGACTTTTACATCCAAGAGATTATATATTGTTTAATAATTTATAATAAGCATGAAAACCATGAATTGCTTATGTTTCAAGAAGTTACAGATTACAATCAATGCCCAGAAAAATTTGTTGTAGGGCATTAAAACTTGTAGTATCAATTGAATGCAAGTCTACAAGGTATAATGATCGATTGACAGTAGCATCAACACTTAAGAAAGAGGCCCATAATGTTAGAATTCAAATATAAGGAATCAAATTATCATGAAGAAAGCATAGAACACACACCTTTATTAGCTTGCGGAAAATATCGAGCCCATTGAGGGAGTTCTCCGCTATAAGTTACAATTGGGCAGTATCCTTCTGCCTCCCTATTATATGTACAACCAGACAACTGTGTTGTGTTGCAATGATAGGCCCCCTTCCAGAGATTGCAAGGGGAGGTAACAAACTCAGTACCTTGGTTGCGACCCCAATCAAGATTATCTGCCATGCTATAATTGGCTTTGTACCATCCACTGTCTTCCAAGAGAGCAAGTGTCATTTTCGAAACTACAGATCTTGTATCCACAGAACCAGTCATAATCTCATTCATCAAAAGCCTTTTTTCCCAATGAGATCCTGTAAGTCAATAACGTAACTTACATTGTCACTTCATTGGTGGCTAGAATATACAAATCTCGAGGATGTCAAACAAGGTATCTAAAATGCAATAGTTGCTCACTTGTTTAGGTAGTTCACTTGCAACATTCTAAGGGGACATGGATGGGGATATGCCAGTAACATGAGATAAATCTTACCAAGCAAGGGAGAAATCAACTTCCTATTCTATTAGGCAAATAGTACATAAATTTTAAGCCATTAAACAAGAAGCAAGCATGTTGAAATACACATAGTACTATGAGCACAAGAGTTGAGATTCCCAACACTTTCTACAAACATGGGCCCGACACTAATTTATCCCTTATGATCCTTAACAGGAAAATTGAGGTAGGAGGGATCAAACATTGCATTCCAAAGCATTTTATGTGCTTCAATAATTAAAAACTATAAACATGTTTGAATTGATTAAAGACAATGGAAGGTATGGAAGAAAAGGCAGGCATGTATATTACCAAAACAAAATTGATTAATTTGTTTACGGAAAAGATGAAAAGACAAAAACCTGATGTACCACGTCCTCCTCCATCTTCCAGCTCTAAACCAGTAAAATTTTCTGAGAAAGCCTGCCATCAAATTTATTGTTAATCTTTTGTTGAAACTATGAGATACGACATAAATGACAGAACAAAATTGGAGGTATTATATAAACGGGAATAGGGTCCCAAGCATATACCCCATAGTGATGTCGTGAATACATGACAACTCGTGGAAGCACCACACGGGTTACCATTCTCCCAAGTCTCTCATCCAAAACCTGTTCAGTGACCTGGGAAGTAACCAAATAATGACAAGCATCTAAAATGCGTCAAATTCAATGCTGAGATACAATAATGATGCAACAGGGGAAAAAAATTCTACATCTATTAATTGGAGAAACAATATGAACAACTGTTCTAAATTTAAAACAGATGCTGTTACAAATAGGAGGCCGAATTAAATGGAAGGAAGATTTTCTAATCATCAGAACTAATTCCAAAGACAAATCGAATATGTTTTATCATGCAATCAGTATTTGTGATAATCTTGATTTGCAACACATTTGGCTAGCACAGTTACCACCAGCAATAAAACCTATAACTGAGAAAATTATACCAGAGGACTAACAGATCAAATACACAGAATATACATTATTTTACAGCACGTGATGCAATATATACCTGAATGCGACGTTTTTTCCTTTCATCTCTAAAATGAGCAAAGGCGTGTGGGTCGAAACCAAGAACATGCATAACCTGGAAAAGATTAAACATGATGAACACCGTTGCGAAGTGTCTCCCATGTTCCCAAAATTTCAATTACATGCATAAACCAAACCAACCTCATGTATCAGAGTCGCTGACAGCAAAGTCTCAGCCTCAGCTGTCAGATGGCGAGGAGCAACATTTACATGTCCTGCAAAGATAAATACATCTTTAGTTCTGAAGCCTATCAAATGAAAGATAAAGATGGTCATTCAAACTAGGATATGTTCCTAATGATAAGCTACCAGCTATGGCACGGCCCCATTGATCCCTTTCACATGCCACTGCCCAAGCAAGTGTATTCCCAGTTGTAGGTCTTGTAGTCACCAAAAGAACCAAGTCAGCATCAGATACGCCCTCTGAAGACAGTGAAAAGAGAGATCATTCCTTACAATTCATAGGTGAAAATGTGACAAATTATTACAAACAAAATAAAACTACTACATTCACAAATGACATGCAATAATTGAATCGTACCCTCAACATATTCACGAGGAAGTTGCACGCCTCCATCTTGTCCACAAGCAGAATATCCACTTAATCGCAAGTTTCCCTTGACAGGCTCGACAGCCAATGCTCTCCTAAACCAATTGGCTGTCTGACCCAATGCCTGCAATCAATTGCAAACAAGTGTTAAAAAACAAAACCATGTTTGCCCAAAATTTACAACTAACTACAAGCGGAGAAAAAAACCTTGTACTGTTTTCCTCAGATTATCAACCAAGCAAACAAAGCAAATATAATTGGAAAAAGCATTTACCTTGCGAAGGCGATGTTTCTTGTCCTCTCCTGAAATATCTTCTGCAGTGCAGTTGTACCAACAATCCCCCAAAATAGGAGGATCGCCATGAGAATTACAAGTAGGGAAACCAGGAGGGGCTGTCATTGAAGGCTCTCCAAGCTGTCAATACAGAAACAAAGATCAAATAAAATAAAAATAATGATAGGCAGAATACCATCACCGAACCTAGGTAATATGCAAAGCAGAAGATATTTTTTAGAAAAAAAATCATATCAAATACTCACTTTGACAATATCACCAACTTTTCGACAATCTCTCTCAGGAGAGTGGCCTACAGCATCATAATTGAGATATATTCTAATAGGTTGCTTTGCATCATTTTGAGGACCTGATATTGACACTCCAAGTAATGACCTGCCTTTATGCTGAAGGGCTTTTGGAAGGCCAGGATCATAAACCTGTGGGGTAATGGAATACACCTTGCGACCAGGTCGCCTTCTCTGTTCAAGTATCTGATCATGGATGCAAGAGTGCGATGCAATGTTCTCACTTCTTCTGCCCGGGTCTCCCCATTGAAGTTGGTTTTCTTGAGGTATTGCATTCGTGGCCTCCGAACATGCCAGTATCAATATAATCTGAAGCAGCAAGAGGAAGGGCAAAAATACATATTAAACAAGTTGAGCCAATCAAACAATCCAAGTATTTAACCGCAATGTATTTAATGAAAATTGAGAAACAAAAATTTTGTTTATAGCTTGCAGTAGATGGTAGATCCAACGTCAATAAAGATGGCAACGTCAAAAGGGAAACTTCAGAACCATGTAAACTCCCCCAAATTTAGTGAGAAGGTATGCAACGAAGCTCGTTAAACCAAAAGAGAAACAAGTAACAGATATGATTTACTGAATCAGATGCTAGAGTCTAGTGAACAGTTTCATGTGAATCTGGAAAGTAGCGAGCAAGAATTAATAAGCTGGAGATCAAAGAAAGCAGGATCTCGAAATTAAAGAGCAACAGCGTCTAACCCAGCACTTTCCAAATCAAACATTGCTCCCAGAACAAACCCTGCCTTTCCGGGAAATGTAAGAAACATTTTTTCTGAACCTTCGTTTACAAAGAACATTGGGAAAGGGATATTTCATCGATTTATAATAAAAAGTCTCAAAAAAGACATTGTTCTTCTTCCTTTTAACCTTAAATAACGCCACCAAACAGAGCCAGAGCATAGTCCAGCAAACGATTTTAAAATGTCTAAAACCCTAGACATTTGAGGAATATTGAACTAAGAGAATTGATTTTAATAAAAGGAGCAGAAACTGATCCAGTAGAAGAGCTTACCTCGAGAACGACGACAGCGAATCGAAGCGCACAATCAAATCTGGACCGACTGCAGGGACTACACCGAACCATTACCTCCATGGAATAGGATAAGCAGAGAAACCCACGATGTTGATTCCATCAACTCGCCGGCGACTTTTCGATCTGCTTTAAGACCGAGAAAAATCGCAGGCTCTCGTGCATTTTGGAAAGTCTTGTAAGAACAACAATAACAAAGGATAAGTAATTGAGGCGTGGCCCTTTGGGCTGACAGTGGATTTGATCAGAAAGGAGTGAACAATGTTCCGAGACACAAGCGAAAAGGCAGGACTTTGATTTTCAGGGGAAAAGTGCTATTATCGGAGACAGGTTCAAAGAGATGAGCTTTCAATTTGTAGAGGGGAATATCCAAATTCAACAGTTTGCAGTTCCCGATCTCCCTGACATGGGAAAAGAGGACACTGACAGTAGGGAGGAGAAGAGGGGAGGTAATGAAAAAAATCAAACCAATGTGGATTGGGTGGAGTGGGTGGCGAAGATCACTTTTTTAATCCCCCTCCGCGTTTCAACTTGATAAATAAATAAATAAATACGGTTTCTTCTTTTCTTTTTTTTTTCTTTTTTTTTTGCCAACATACGGTTTCTATTTTATACGGTCTGAAACCATTTTCTTACCCAACATAAAATTCTAAATTTATTTTTGAAGGTGAAGAATAGGAAAGTGTTTTAAAATAAAAAAGGAAAATAATATTATGAATAATCAATTCGCGGGTGTTTAGGGTAGAGGAAGGATTTCGACAAAGGGTTGTAATATTTAAATAAACTTTTAGTTTTAGGACCAATTCTATTTTTCCTTCACCTGTTTTGAAGGGCCAGGGAAAAAGAAAAATCCAACCATGTCCCTCATTTCCTGGCTCCGCCGGTGCCAGGAGCCTACAAAACACTGAACTACGTGACAAAAAACTATACGCGTATTTGTTTTGAACTGCACAATAATCCATTTCACTGAACACAAAAAAAAAAAACCCGTATTTTTCATAATAATAGTGTTAATTAAAATGGTATGTTTTCTTAATCAAAGGAAAAATTGCCTAACAAACATTGTTGGATAAGAAAACAACTTATTACCCATAACACCAAAAGGAATGCCAAGAAAGAACTCGCAGGCCACAATTAAAAAGGTCATTTCTCCAGAATGCAAATCTTCCATAACCCAAATGCACGGGCCCCCTCGCCCTCATGTATCGTTTATTACGCAAAGGTCAGCCCTGCGCCTTCAATTTTCCTATTGTCCAAATTAAATGCAAGATCTGGTCAGAAAAAAAAAAATTAAATGCAAGACATACGTAAATGGAAAAATTGTGTGTCCATGAGAAGTATTTTTTTTAAATTCCTTTTTTAAACAAAAAAAAAAAGAGGAAAAAAGAGAAAGAACACACGAAGGAGAAGGAGTGTTTTATGGATCCCGTCTTTATAATAACAAGGTGGCCCCCCACCTTGATGAATGCAATATAATTATCATACTTCCTGATCCATTCAACTGTCCTACTCTCCCCCACACCTTTCGCTCTAATCCGTATGCATATTTTATTTTTGTTCCTTCCTTACTAATCAAATCCCGGTCAAGTTCCTGTTCTCTTCCTATGCACCCTTACATCTTCAATTCCTTGGGTGTATTTTCAACAAACACCTTGCATGAATTGTTCTTTTTTTCCCCTCTCTTCCTTTTAATAATCATTTTATTCCTCTATATATTCTGAACTGTGGCTTTTCTTCTATTTATTATTCTTTTGAAGTTCATCAATAAATTCAACAACACACGCACGGGGAATGGGGAAACGTGAGCTGGGGGTTTTGGTTCCTTGTTTTGGTGGCATCCCATACTGTAAGAAGAAGACCCCGTGGCGAAGTACTAGAAGCTGGCGGGAAGATTTCATTCTCACTTTTGTTACTAAAGGGGGAAAAAACGATAAACAGGGAAACTATTTCCTTTTGGGCAAAATAAGAAAGAGAGAAGCTTAGAAATGAAACAAAATGGATGCGAGGGAGAGGACAGAGAAACAATTCTTGATGGAGCCGGTCGGGTTAAGGCAAGGAAATGAGAGAACTCATTGACAAGCAAAAGAACCCCAAAAAAAATGGGCATATCTCTCGGTTTAAGAATGGTGGGGTTTAGGTTTGGTATTTATTAGCCCACAATGCAAGCTACTTTGTTAATTTACGAGCCTTCTTTGACCTTTCCATCCCATTCAAGCTGATCACATACAATTAATGCATATTATTATACATGTTATTATTATATAGAATAAACTGATCAGGCCTCATCACACAGCTAATCCGTATATGTTTTCCCAATGAAGCGTAATAAGGATACAGCTCATTCATTTCATCGGTATGTTCACCAAACGGCCCCTTATATTAATCAGTAATCACAATGGAAACGGTCCTCGCATTTGCGCTCAGGCCCCACGCATGCACACCCATATATTGTAGTACACTTGGACTGGTTTTGTGATTACCGTTGCGTCTTTTCCGCCAATTTAATACTAGTAACTCATAGTACTACTTACCAGTTATATATAGTAGTCCTGTATAAATACGGTTTATTTTTTAGACTCGTTCATGGCTAATTTGTTTCCAGAATGAGTGAGCAAGCCCCCTTTATCATTATATTATATTTTGAATTTGAGCTAGTTTCCTGGTAAGCCAGAAATGGAAGAGGGGGAGAGAGAGGAGATGCAGACACAGCCCAAATCCTAATCCTAAGTTACTTAATAAATGAATAATTGAACGTGTGCTCTATACCAAATCGTAAACATATACTCTTCCTTCAAACTAATTAATCCTTGATTCGAATGCAGACACAGTGTCATTAGTTTAATGGTTTTTCTTGGGTTGCTTCGAAACAATCATGGATTGGGCAGTTGATCAAATCCTAAGCCACGTACAGTTCCCTCACGAGCAACTTGATTCCCAACAACAGCAAAACTACTCCTCCAAGAGAAGTTTAGGGGGAAGAATGATACCCAATTTCGCAACAACGAAGATTTTCGTTTTCTCCCAGGGAAAAAAAAA